TAGCATAGTGGATTAAGGTAATGTTCTGTAAATTTGCTGATATAAAAATTGTAAGTTTGCCCTGTAGGAATAAGTGAAAACAGGGCTAGGTCTAACGGAGTAATACAAAAAAGAGCAAGGCTAGATATCAATAAATACGGTCAGAGGAACGAAAACAATGTATCCCTGTAGAATAAATTAGGTGTTCAGTTCAAAATTCCTTGAAGTTAACTTAGATCGGCAATTGCCTGATGAAAAATATTCCTTTCCAGTCAAGGAACCTGTTTATAAAAAAACTTAATATGCTCTGGTATGGATGTTCATCTTACGGATGTTAACATTTCAATAAAACATTTATAAAAGAAGAAATGCTGCCCAAATATATCATATATATATATATGACATATATCATATATATATATATATGACATATATATAATTATATATATATATGTGTGTGTGTATGTGTGTGTGTGGCATTCGCATATCACAGCTCCTAAGTGCGATTAGACATCCGAATGCCAGGATGGAAACCCAACCGATTTGGTGTCAGTCAGATAATCTAGCATATTGTTTTTTTTTTTAATCTAAACAAATGCCAATCAGCCGAAGTGCTCTATTCATTTTACTGAAGAGCTTTTATATATATATATATATATATATATATATATATATATATATATATATATGTGTGTGTGTGTGTGTGTGTGTGTGTGTGTGTGTGTGTGTGTGTTTATCAGTTCCCAAGTAGGCATCTACGCAGACGACACTATTATTTACTCCTGCCTCAATAGTAAATTCGACATTGCTGTCGAAACTAACCTGGCCGTTGATCACGATAAGGATCCCAAATCTATGTTTGAATAGGGCAAGAAATGGCTGGTAATCTTTAATGCCTCCAAAACGAAACTGCTCTCATTTACACCCCCCCCACTAGAGAACTCTCCCTGCCTCCCATCAGAATGACTGATGCCGAACTTCACGTGAGCACCTCCCCTGCGCCTGCTTGGTTTCACGCTTTCTACTGAATTTAAATGGAACAACTATATTGAATCAACAGCTTCCTCTACCGCAAGGAACGATGGTTCGTTGTGTCGCGCCAGAAGGTTTTTCGCGCCTGAGTCCATCCTTCAAATCTACAAACCAACCATTCGTCCTAAAATAATTCAATATGACGTCAATTATTTTATCCATTGATCAGAGTAGCACTTTTGATGTGAAAGTTTTGGTCAGTCTCTTTTCAGTGGGTAATCAACACATTATATTATTTTGTAAAATGTCCGAACGAAATGGAAGAATACATGCAGCCATATATACATAAAAGAGCATTTGAAGCCAGTAGATTTGTTCTTCCCTCCACCAACTCGTATACCCCTTTGTGCTACTATTGTCTTTTCGAGGACCAATGAAATAACGTATGACTCTTGCCTTAGGTTTGCTGGTGAGAACTGCGAGATCAGAACACTCTCATCTCTTAAGTTCTCAGTGAATTCTTTTCCCTCCTAGTTTGACTTGCATTTATAAAATGAAAACTATGGTTAAATGTATTTTGATGAACAACCCATGCGTTTCGATTGTTGTTATACAGAATATCTCAGCGGTGTTCATATATTTTTTCTTTTGTTGTTGTTGTTGAGGCTTCCTGATGTTTCACCGATGTACATCAGTAGGTATTTGTACAGTTTGTTTTGTATATTCCTGTCTCTGTGTTGTTGTTGCTGTTTTGTTTGATACTAACTGTAACACTTATTTTTTTAGACATAGAGTTGATGAATTGTATGTCAAATGTTTTCGATGATGGTTGTCGAATCGGAAGCTAGGATTATGAGTTTCATTTTCTAATGGTTCCTGGGATTATTATTATTTGTGAACATTTGTATTCTTCTTTTCTGGATTTAGTAGGCTTTGTGTTTGGCATTGTGCAGGAGATAATTCGGATATTGGGACAGTTTGAAAATATCTTCAATGCATTTCTTTTCTTCGGGCAGGAATTGGTGTATGGGATAAGTATATAAGATTTCATTTATATATGAAGATCAATTTTTGGGAAAAGAAGTATGACAAAGTGGAAAAGATTAAAGATGTTTTTCATTTTGTACTAGACTACTCTTGACTGTTTGGATCACTGGCGGTCCACGTTATAAAACATTGAAGTTGATTTCAACATTAAAGAATTGTCTCTTTGAAGAAAGTTGAAATAAAAATAATTACTGTATAAACAACTTATATTTTTAAAATCAGATTAGCTTAAAAATTTTTTTTAATAAGCCAAAAAATATTTTAAAATCATATTCACTTGAAAATATTGTTTATGCCAAAAATATTTTTAAATATTTAAAACATTGTTTGATTAAAAAAAGCTAAAATATAAATATTCACTATACAAACAACTGGACGAAACAGCAAAGCGGGATCTCTTTGTGTATGTCTTTAACCTAAAATTATTCTAATTACAAATGTTGCCCGTTTGAAGAAAGTTAAAATAATAACACTTACTGTATAAAGAACTGGTATTTTTCAATCTTCTATATTTAAATTTTATTTACTTGAATCAGATTAACTTAACTATTTATGCATCGGACGGATGCACCTCACAAGCACCCACAATCACAGACTTTTAGAATTCTATATATATTTATGGGGTATATAATCTAGCCGATTTCATTTCGGTTCTTTTTGATTGTGTTTCCGTCGCTTTTGTTATTAAATATCTCCCATTGTGTTAAGAATGGTGAAACGTTGTACGTTCTGATTACCTGGACATGTAATATAGATATCGATGGATGTTTGGCGTTATAGACTCGTGAATGTCCCAGCTCGTTCGACCGAATGAAAAAATAATAAATTCTCTCCGCGAACTCTATATAATTACTTTGTCAGACTCGCCCCGGAGTAAAGTTTTGAACTTTAGTAATATTTTAAACAAATATTAGGGGAAAAAATATCTTACGGGAAACAGTTAAGTATACCTACCGGGTGTAGCAGTAAAATTGTTAATTTTTTTGATTAAGCATTGAACCGTTGTATCTTAAAAATGATTAAATTGATCTTACTGGAAATATCCAAGATTTTTATAACATTATTGGGCAATAAGTATGTACAATTATTCGAATGAAGAATCGTGATGTACTCGATAATAAACAAAAATGAGATGTTCATCATTAATTAATAACAGCTGAGGATCGGAAGCTCACGAAGGATTGAAATAAGTTTCATATATATATATATATATATATATATATATATATGTGTGTGTGTGTGTGTGTGTGTGTGTGTGTGTGTGTGTGTGTGTGTGTAAGCAAACATATGGATATAGATCCGACAATATAAAGAAAAATATACGGAAAAAACTAACAAAAATTGCATTTTAGGATTTTTGTTTGTTTTTTCCGTATATTTTTTCATATATATATATATGTGTGTGTGTGTGTCTCTGTGTGTGTCTCTGTGTGTGTGTCTCTGTGTGTGTCTCTGTGTGTGTGTGTGTGTGTGTGTGTAGTGCGTATGTGTATTATTCCAGGATCATTTTCCAACTTATTCAAAATGATCTTCCCCTCTCTAAGTTTCTAAGTTACTGGCCTGCAGTAATAAGTTGCAACACAGGTTTCGTGTACTATTTCATTTTTTTAATTTTCAAGTCTCTTTTCGCTGCTCTTTTGAATGTCGTGGCTAAAACTCTGACGTGCCAAACGTTTATGTACTTAGTTGGATCTTTTCTAATTGATCTTTTTAGTTCTAAGGTTAAATGATGATCCTCTTCCTGCTGCGACCTCCTTATCTAGTTTTCGTCTTTTTTAAACTTATTAACCATTCTCTTGATGATTACTGAATGAACTTTGAAGATGGAAGCCAGAGTATGAATGTTGGTATCATTACTGAAGGCCTGAATGATCTTTTTCCTCTCACCATTGCTCATTTAAAAAACAGTGGGTCTGACACGAAACTAGTTTAAGCTGTTCCCTTTCTATCTGAATAACTTAAAGGGTTTTTCAGTGTTTCTTACGACGAATAATGTCAAGATGGCTAAACGTCTTGTCTGAAAACATGTAAAAAAAAGGAACTGTTAGTTTAGTGTTTTATTAGATATTAAACATTTTGTAGGATGGACAATTATGCCGTTCCACGATTTAGAAAATTTTGCTGTTATACCCGGTGTTTATATATATATATATATATATATATATATATATATATATATATATATATATATATAATTTGCGTAGCCTCGAACTTACCCCCGGATAACTTCACTCATAGAAGCAGGAGAAAATGTCAAGTTAACTTTTCCTTTGTCGTCATAAATTTTGGAAAACGGAGGGAACTTTCTGCAGAAAAAAAATAATAGTACATAAAATAAAATATCTGAACAGGGTGTGGCAGGTAGGAAGCGTTGAAGTAAACATTTATTCACACTCACATAAAAAAATAACTATATACATGAAAACGTCTAAATGAGAAAGCGTCTTGTTTTTCATTTTTAACCGACTTCAAAAAAGCGTTGCCAAAATTTCACCAATAAATATTTTGCCTTGCACTTTTCTGAAAAAAAAAAAAAAATTAAAAAAAGATATCGCTTGCAAAAATATTAAACTAAAACAAATATATATATATGAGTTTTTAAACAGAATGGTAAAAGAACGACAACGAAACAGAAAGGTATGATGATAGAAAACGTTTCCACGTCAAAGAATACAGAATAATTGCAAGAGAGACGGAAAGAATTGCCGATCGAGAGTCAGACTGAGTTAGATGCTTACATAGACAGTAAAAGATAGACAGGGGTCAAGAGAGAGAGAGAGAGAGAGAGAGAGAGTCAAAGGATTAAATGATCGAGAGAGATAGTGAAATAATGAGAGAGAAAATTATATTGTCAGAGACAGCGAGAACTGGTGTAGTGAGAAAGAGAAAAAGAGTAACAGAAATAAGTTGAAAAGGAGACAGAACAGGGAAAGAAAGAAAGAAAGAAAGAAAGAAAGAAAGAAAGAAAGAAAGAAAGAATTATTACGGGAAAGAAAGGGATGTTAAACGAAAAATATATGAAAAAAGAAACGAGAGAAAGAAAGGAAAAAGAAAGAAAGAAAGAAATAAGGGACGAAAGAAAGAAAGAAATAAGGGACGAAAGAAAGAAAGAAATAAGGGACGAAAGAAAGAAAGAAAGAAAGAATTATTACGGGAAAGAAAGGGATGTTAAACGAAAAATATATGAAAAAAGAAATGAGAGAAAGAAAGGAAAATGAAAGAAAGAAAGAAATAAGGGACGAAAGAAAGAAAGAAAGAAAGAAATAAAGAAAGAAAGAAAGAAAGAAAGAAAGAAAGAAAGAAAGAAATATTACCTGAAAGAAAGAAAGGGATGTTACGGAAATTATATGAATGAAGCAACGAAAGAGATAAAACAAAGAGAGAAAGAAAGAAAGAAAGAAAGAAAGAAAGAAAGAAGACGAAAAAAGAAAAACTTCAATGAAAACGGAAGAAACAGAAAAAGAAAAAAGATTGAGAAAGAAGAAAGCATGACATTAAGAAAAAAAACTAACAATGGAAAGAAGAAGAAAAAATAAATGTCGAGAGAGAAAGCAGGCAGATGCTTAGCGAAATAGAGACGGTGAAATAGAAGTAAATTCAGTGACAAAGAAAGAAAGAAAGAAAGAAAGACAGAAAGACAGAAAGAAAGAAAGAAAGAAAGAGAGAAAGAAGGAAAGAAAGAAAGGGTTGAGCAAAGACATAGAGACTTTCGTATAGAAAAAGAGCGGGGGAGAGAGAGTTTGAGTACTGGGAATTATTCTTTTTGCATGTTTAAGTAAATAATAAATTATACTCTACAAGGAAAGCCTGAAAAAACAAATGCTTCAACATCGAAATTCAGTCTGACGCCACCGTACACGTTTTGACTTCGTCGGGTGAAATACAAACATTACCCACACGGGACAAATAAACGGGTTTTTTAAAAGCTGATCATTTTTACCGAGGGAAAAAATACTATCTGATTTACTGCCTGGACAGGAAAGAAAAGTAAAACATCAAAAAATATTTTGACCACTCTGGTAATAAAATTTGATTTACCAAAAAGCTTTGTTTAAAATAAATGAATCCTGACTGCTTTCTCTTTTAGCAATACTATCAAAATAAGTTCCATACGACATAATGTATGTAGAGACTTCTATTCACACGAATCCCCACGGACAGGGTAAAGTTTTTACTATTGTAGAGCTGATCAGCAACCTTGACACATTCAGGAAAGACATACTTTCTTTCCTTTTTATGTGCCGTATCCTTTATGGACGTAGGCGATCATGGCTCTCCACTTCACCCTATCCCTTGTAGCTATCAATAAGTTTCATGCCTTTGCCAACTCACCCAGACAACTTTCTGCCATCCACTTGCTTAAGCCCGCCAGGTATGTCATGCGTTGCTTTCTCTTTTTTCCCTCTGTGAGTATCATATTCTCCAGGCCCTCCTTTCTTCTAAATTTCACCTGCGTCTTCCTTATGTTAAATATAACCTTCCTCCTTATTTGCATCCTCACCAAGACGGTATCATTGCTCACACGCTCGGTCTATGATATCCTTATCATCCTTCTGTAGAACCACATCTCCGCTGCCTCTAGTCTCCTCTTCATCTTTGATGACACCGTCCGACATTCGTTGCCGTAAAAGGAGGAGAGATGTCAAGTAGCAGCTCAGTACTCTTTTCTTTGTCGCCAAAGAAATCCCCCTGTCTCGTAGTGCCCAGCCCAGCATTTGGAACCCAACCTTGGCGAACACAGTGCATTTTCGGATCTCAGCGTCGCACCTACCGTCCTCCGTCACAACACTTCCCAGATATTTAAACTTCCGCACCTGCTTGTTTTTAGTGCCCCCTGACCTGCAAATCGCATTTCGTGCTCATTCTTTTACTGATAACTATGCATTTCGTCTTCTTGTATTTTATGCTTAGTCCCTTCTTCCCGCTCTCCCTCGCTACCTTCTGTAGAAGGTTCTCCGTTTCCTTCCCGTGTCTACCCTGAGTACTCTCTTGTCTGCGTAACTTACGTTGGTAAGATAGTGGCCGCCAATGCTGAATCCCTAATACGATACAGAAGGAGCTCGCATCAAACACGAGATATAAAATTAGTGTATATACTGCTGGCCCTGGCTACGATGTTGACCAAAATATATATCCATTTACTGTAGTAAAATACAGCTCTATTTAAAATAAACATCGCACTTTACACGAGTATATACGGTTGTAGCAAATTCGATAGACAATTATAAATAGAGAACAACTGGCGAACATAGTGGGTGGGGCTATGCCTAACAAACCCCGTTGCTATTCAAGACATGGAGAACTGTACTACAACTACTACTACTCAGAGAGAGGGCAAAACATAACACTCCTTAAAAGCTTCAAAATTAAGCCTTTAAATGTTGCAGGGCACGCGTGTATATACGGTTAATGAATTCTGTCTGTATTTGTAGGAGACAGGACTATCATTATTTATAGTATTTATATGCTTTCTATTGTCCTCATCTTTGTTATTGTAATCACAATGTTTCGACCTTTTTACTCTTCGACCTTCATTAGGTGTATGTCCATCCGTGTAAACTAGAAGGAATTCCGAACTGAATCCTTTATTTAATCTACGGGTGTTTACTTTTCTCATCCCACTGTCCATCCCTAGGGATATCTCATTTAGTTCTTATTTCGAGGACTGCGAAGGGACAACTCAGCACCGCCAACTCAACACCGCCACTCAATACCGACGACTCAACACCACCGAGTCAACTCAGGACTGAGACAACTGAGTTTTAATTTGTAAATTGACATTTCTAATTTATAAATATTTAAACTTATTTAAAACAAAAATATTTAAATACATAACGTTTTTGTGTTACTTTAAAGTCAATAGAAATTTAAAAAAAACTCTTAAAATCGTTAACTTTTTACAGTTATTTTAAAATTTGAATTTTTATCTGTTCTCTCCTAGAATAGATAGAAAGTCACAATACTGGATGTCCAAGTACCAGATGAAGGGAAGATTTTTAATCCCGGGATAATCCAGAAAGTTATAATATGTCTATGTAGATCAAGGCCATACTCCGATCCTTAGAGAATTCCTATGCAAATAATACAACGGTATGTGGATGCACCGTTTAAAATCTAAACGACCAGAGTTTATTACCTGATCTTTCATCTGGTCTAGATTTAACAGCTCAATGGGAGAAAATTAAGCCTAACAAAAATGGTTGCTATTCAGGACACGGAGAACTCTACTTCAACGTAGAGATATGCAAAACATAACAACGATAATTTTGTTTTCGCTTCGTTAGTAGAATTTTTCTTACTATTGCAAAAAACCTCGGAGGTTCGTAAGAATATAACTGCAAACATTTCGCACATCGGACCATTTGATTCTGATGTAATTGAAGCTGATTCATTATAGGGACATAGGTAGACACGGCAGGGTTAATTATGTCAAGCTGAGATATTCGAGAAATATTCGCTTTTATTTAAAAACAGAAAAAAAAAACGAAATTAAATTATTGGACGGATTTTAAGCTGATGACAAAACATATACGTAGTTTGCCACATATGGACATATTTGCATCAAAATATTCATTGCATGCTGACATTTGATTTTGTACACGAGGAAGATATACGGGTGCATATTTAAGAGATAAAATCATAGCATCACTTGTAATTTTACGACTACCACTACTACTACTAATACTACTGGAACACATAAAAAAATTCAAACACACATACAGGGTGAGATGGATAAATTGTCGTCTAAATAACGAAAAAATTAAAATAATACTGACATCTAATTTTGATAGATATATTAACTAAAATTACATAAAAATATCTTGCCAGATACGATGCCTTCCAGCAACTATCCTCTTGACAAAAGGCAGCACTACCCTCTCAAGGTACTTGATGTATGCTTCCTTGTTGAGTCTGAGGCAATTACCAACAAATTCGAGAGTTCTTTTCTCTGATCAGAACGATCAGAGTGAGTTTTCCGAGATATCGTACCCTCGTAATCGACTCATTAGACTCATCCAACTCTTTCAGAATCCTCTGCACTGTCCTCAGATTAACGCCCAAATACTCTGAAATTTTTGTATTGGGGCTTCCAGCGCAGATGTCAAGTAGGACAGCATGCTGTTTCTAAATTTCTGGCGGAGTGAATTGCGTCATTTTCTTTTTCTCATAGACAGTGCCCAACTGATTCCACTATACTGTGCAGTCAACAAAATAATAAAAAAAAACAAAACAACACGCATGCGCGAAATTAAGAATATTAAATGGCGACAGTTTCCCCATCGCATCCTGTTGACACTCAGAAATTCTTCATTAAGAATAATGTTCGTAGAATGGTGTTCAGCGTAGCTGAGAAGAAAAGTAACCAAAATTATTCTGAAATAAATATGCAAAAACTTCTAATAGTTAATACTGTTCCCACCTTTTTATAAAAAAAACATAATCTACTTTTGCTGATAATAAAATAAAACTATTGGTATTCGAAAAAACAAAACGGCTGACTTTGCTTTATCTTAGAATAATTCAAGATAATATTACCACGTTTTTAAAAATATCGTTTCGCCCCAAGTAAGGAGATAATGCCACTAAGACTCAAATGCTTACAGAGAGTGAAAAAGAATGATAACTTTATTGAGAAGGAAGCAAAATAGAAAGAACGCGATTCAGAAATGTTTTATTAGAAATTTTGAAGGTTGTAAGTCGCAGGGAATCAATCGACATGAAGAGAATTATACGAGCAAGTTAGATAAAGTAGACTATTAGAATAGAGCTGACGGTTGACGCTTGCTGATTTCAACAGTAAAACGATAAGACCCTGCTGCCATTTCCGTCCAACGCTTAAATACGTGCCGTTGAGATGCCATAAAGGGCAGTCCATTAGAACTACCATGAAAGTATTTATAGAAAAGACGGATTAAAAGCATGTCACGGCCGTTGGAAAATGTCTGAATTCCAGATACCATTTCAGGATCGGTTACATTACAGACCATTCTTTGGATTTTGTCAAGAATCTCAAGATATATACGAGTGGCAGCAGATTACATACAGCAACAAGGTTCAATACACTGACGGATGATTGATTTCATTTCAATCATTTCACCCCAAGCAAGTCGATAATGCCACTAAGACACATTGGTTATTGGAAGTGAACGATAATGCTAAGACTTTAGTGAAGAGAAAAGACAAAGATTTTTTTATAAAAAAGCATACAGAGAGATAGATATAAAATGGACGCTTGTTCTTTTGAAGACAAAAAATAGCGATGTACGTTGCATTTAATGTTTTAAAAATTGCAAGTGGCAGGGAAGCCATAAATCGAAAAAGAGTTCCAAAACCAAGAAATCCGAAAGAAGAAACCATTAGAATATAAGGTACAGTTACATCAAGCTGGTTCAACATCTAAATGTTAAATCCTTAGCCAATCTACTGGAACGACAAAGTTCAGGATTAAAAAGGACAGCTCATGAGAACAATTGCCACAAAAAAATATGTATAGAAAAGACAGAGAGAAGTCACGTCACGACGGTGGGAAAGTAACTGATCGAGATGCCTGATCACCATCGATTACAGGCACTTTTATCGATTTTGTCAACAATTTTGATGTATATAACAGGAACATACCAGACGTAGCAAAACTTTTCAATGAATTGACGAAAGACACATGTACAAGATGATTTCTAACAGGAAAGATTTTCTGACGATACAGTGAACCGTATTTACTAGCAGAAGACTAACCAATTGATCCAATATAATAAATCCACTTCATGGCACGGAAAAAAAAACCTTGAGCCTACGGAGAAGCAACAAGTTTTTTCCCTCGATGTTATCTCAACCATCTTGAGAGAACACAGAGAAATTTCTCTATAGCAATTAACTGGTAGTCGTTCCATTTCGGCGGTGTTAGAATTAACAAGCCAACCCTATATTATAATAAAATGACTAAAAGTGCGTTTTATAGCAAGAAATTTATAAAGGGTCATTAAGACGGATTATAAGGGTGTTTCATTAAAGCAGATCAAAGTCAGCAGTAAATTTATCAGTGTTATTGGTAAAAATTTATTTATTTCTCTATTGGATCATGTTATTTAAGTCATGACAATTATGTGTGCAAAATAATATCACCCAAATGTCCGCCAAGGCTTCGGCGGCACACCTCTACTCGATGGTGAAAATTGTCAACAATGACGTCTCTGCATAGTTGCCCCTTGATATCACCAATATGCCTTATTATCTCATTCTTCATCTATTGAATTGTCTTTGGCTTGTTGGCATAGAGCTTATTTTTTAGATGACCCAAAAGGAAGAACTATAAAGGCGTCAAGTCACACGATCGTGGTGGCCAATTGACTTCGCTGTTCCGAGAGAAGATGCGACCTGGGAAATTTTTCAAATTCTATTGAACATGCATTTTCCTAATAGGCTTCGATAACTTTAACACGTTGTTTGAGTGTTAATCTTTCCATGGTTGAAATTGCCAAACATTGAAGTTGTTAAAAGAAAAAAAAATCATTAGAAGCTTAAACTTAATTCACATAAAAAATCGGTCCCAGTTATTGGAACACCGTTTAGAAAGTACAGAGTGAAGGCACCTCACAGTGGTGGGAGAGTCACTGGTCTAGATGCCTGGTTATCAGCAATTATATAACAGACACTTCTTTGGATTTTGTCAAGAATTCCTATGTATATAAGAGGAGAATCAGACGAGATGTGGCAGCGCTGTTCAAGGCATTGACAAAAGGTAGATGTACAAGATGAATTCTGATGATTCTGGAGTGAATTAATTAAAAATGTGTGTATGTGAATGCCCTTCAACAAGAGGAAGTGCTGACATAAACCTGTGTATGTGTGTGTGCGCGCGTGTAGTATGTGTGTGTGTGTGTGTGTTACACCTGTGTCCGAATCTCACAATGACGATCCCAGCGCGTGGCACCCTTGGAGAGTGCCTGAAAACCATACTACGGGCTAACCCAATCATTTTGAATGAATTTGGTCAGACAACTATTTGCGAGCCCTCGATAGTCGAACTGTCACAAAGTCGCAAGTCATTGTGACCGAGGGTTTGTGTCTGGTCTTGTTCTGACTTTTGATCACACCAGGTAATACGATTTCTACCAGTAAACTGTTCCTAAGTTCCGCATAGTTGCACTATAAAACACACGTAGGCCCTCTAGGTGTTGAACAATTAAAAACGGGTCTGAGCAGGCGTCTTCAATAGGGATTCGCCAGCAGTCCTAGCAGAAGAGAGGTTTTCAAATTTGAACGTCTTTCAAATAGCCTGACCATTTTTATTTTTATTATTCATGCAGATTTGTAAAAATTTTAGATTCAATATCTGCTGTATCCGATAGTAGCCTTTTTCGATTTAAAATCCATTATATATATATATATATATATATATATATATATATATAAGGCCTGGCGATTGCATATAGCATGAAACGGACTGTCGACACTGGGTATTGATTCACTGCCCACTTTTGTATTTACATATGCTCTATCCTTGCTATTGAACAAGGAAAGAAAAAGGCAAATAAATAATTATGCACACACACACACACACCCACACACACACATATATATATATATATATATATATATATAAGGCCTGACGATTGCATATAGCATGAAACGGACTGTCGACACTGGGTATTGATTTACTGCCCACTTTTGTATTTACATATGCTCTATCCTTGCTATTGAACAAGGAAATAAAAAAGGCAAATAAATAATTACACACACACACACACACACGCGCGCACACACACACACACACACACACACATATATATATATATATATATATATATATATATATATATATATATATATATATATGTCAACTTTGCTTTTCCATTTGTTAACTTACAGTATGATGCCAATTTCTCAGTCAGGCATGCGAGATAAGAAATTAAATAAAAATGACATTATTATTTTCCCATTATTCATCCATCTTTTTCCCGTTCACTCTGCTATGGCTTCATTTTCAGTTTTTTGTGAGAGAAGGAATTCATGTTGAATTGTATACAGCTTGATATTGTTGGTGGCTTCAGTAACTTAGACATATTCATAATACCATGCTTCCTGTCAAACTTTGAAATGGAGGTCGTCCTAAACTTGTTCTCATTCATTTTATTTCACACGGACGCTGGTGTTGCCCTAGGCTCTATACTGGGTCCTACACTGTTTCATTTCTTCTTCATCTATCTTTCTGATGTCATCAGTTTCGAGTAGGCAAGTAGGCATCTACTCAGACAATCATTTACTCCTGCCTCACTAATAAATCTGGTATCGCTGACAAAACTAAACTGGCCGTCGTTTTCGAAAAGGACCTCCAATCTGTGGTTGACTTGAGCAGGGAATGACT